TGGAACTTTTGGTGAAGTATAAATTGGTTGTACTGGTATTATATTTCTATCAACATGAGCATAAAAATTAGTAGGTAAATAAAGATATATTGAAGCATTGATAATTGTTGCTTGATTGATTTGATCAACTGTTTTTGAATAAAGACACGTCGTTATCTATTTTGAAAGGAAATCTTTTCTGATATGTAAAATTATTGATACTTACATTAGTTGAATTACTACAACCAAGATTTTGAACAAGTAAAATTACCATTTGTAATCTGTTGTTCAGTAGTTGTGAGATATCTTCCAGAACCTGATTTTGAGATAACACTTGAGAAAAGAGTATTAGCTTGAGGAAGAGTACTAATAATATGAGCAAGAAATCCACCCGTTGATTGACCAAATAGGAGAACAGTTTTCTATATTAAATATATCAAAATAGAAATTTTATCTATTTTCAATACTATTTCAAAAATAAACAAAATTTTCTCTGAACAACTCTATTAAACAACTAATTATTTTTTCATTGAAAATATCAATAAAATATAAAATTATAGATTAAAATTCTACATACATTATTACCACCGAATGAAACAATATTTTCTTGAATCCATTTTAATGCCAAGAGAATATCGAGAACACCATAATTACCTGTAAAATTTGTTGGTAATCCTAATGTAAGCCAACCAAGAGGACCAAGTCTATAATTCATTGAAACAACAATCGCATTTGTAGCTATAGCACATCCATTACTTTATAGAAATCAAATAAGAAGTTAAGTATTTGAAATGAGTTCATAATTATTTTCAACATAAAATATTTATATATAAATAGATGAAAAAGCTAGAAAATATTTTTATATGATATTTCTAATTGTACGCAACCACTAAACATCGCTTCGTCAGCAACATACTATAGATGGACAAATAATGGAAACATTCGATCATCTTGAATGTTAATTGAGTTTTTAATTTTTTAAAATTAAAATTCATGATTTTTTCAGCTCTTTATAAAACATTACAGTTTTTGATTGTCTTTTCACAATTTCTATAACTACTCTTGGAGATCTTTATCATACCTATGATTATTATCTATTGATGTGTTATCTATAAATAGATTACCAGATGGATACATTGATAGATGACCTGTCGATATTCAATTCTTTTATCTTGAACACGAACGATAATTGTATTTGAAAATTACTTTGAGAGTGAAGACATAAGTAGATATAGATGCTCTTTTAGTTAACTTGCTCTAATATCAAACGCTCACTCATCTTAAACTACGCCTATACTTGTATCTACTTTCATCTAAATCACACCCACGCTCTTGGTTTAATTACTGCGTCACTAATGTCATGAATGTTCAATTGAAGTATTTATATATAATAGCAGTGAGATTATGATCGATACGACTAGTTTGTAAACAAACAGAATACATCCATATGGGTTCTTTTCATGATCTTTATTTTTTTTGTTGTTGTACTGATCTACTTACTAATTGTCTGATTGATCAGTTAGATAGCACAACGCGAATAACAAAATAACAATGAAAGATATTGTATGATACATAGATCAAATGAAGAAGAAATAATTCCTTTTTTTTCTTGTCTATGAAAAAAAAACATACAGTCATATCTAATTCATCTCATTTTTCTTTATAACAATTTGAATGAGTAATATTTTTTTTGGCCAATTAAATAAATTATCTAAAAGGGAAATAATAATACTCTATTTAAATAGATGAAAAATAATATAGAAAGTAATTCATATATCTAATAAATAAATAATTATAGACAAAAAAAAAAGTTTGCCGTTTTTTTATTGTTTTCAATTGAACATATTAAGTTAATGATAATGATCAACATCTGTTTGCATATTTAATTGTGTTGTTCATTCGTCATATCTATAGAAAGAAAGGAAAAAGAATGCGAGAATCATTTGTCATTCAATATGATATTTTCATATTGACTGTTAATTCGTCTATTGTATTCAATTACTAACATGACAAGTAACTGTTTTATGTCAAATGATTCTCAATGGGAATAAGTTAACTGATAGATTTATTGAAAGCAAAATAGTTTTTTTATTTTCTAATAGAGTAATAAAATTCAATCTAAAGGCGTGTCTGTTTCTAATTTATTAGTCGAATGACATTCAATAACTTTTATCTTCTGTCAAACTCATTTTTTTTTCATCTAATAACGAGCGAAAAAAAAATTTTTTTTTGTAGAGATTAACGACATAATGTGACTAGCAACAAAAAATTCTCAAGAGAAAACAAAATCAAGGTGTATATATAATGCTATCTGTTTCACATTCATTAACAATTCACGAGTCAATTATGTTGTACGTCAATGTGTTGATTATCGAATTAATTTGTCACACATATATAGTAGCTGTTATTCATCTCATTTCCTATTATCATATTCATTTTCATTTTGACTACGATCATCATCATCATAATCATGCATGGAAATAATAAGTCGTTTTCTATCGAATATTTGATAGCTGGAAAATCTTCACCACCATCATCACCAATTCCACTCGTCTCATCATCATCATCATCATCACGTTTCTTTTTTTTTACATTCACAATTATTTAAAACAAATAATGATGAACATATTGAAAAGAAATCTAAAACAATAATTAATTCACCAGCATCTCAAACATCATCAACAACATTTCAACAGATACCATTTGAATTAAAACGTATGCGTACAGCATTTACTAGTATACAATTACTTGAATTAGAACGAGAATTTGCATCAAGTATGTATTTATCACGTTTACGTCGAATTGAAATTGCTGCATGTCTTGGTTTAACTGAAAAACAAGTTAAAGTAATAGACATTTTTTGATTATTATTTAATTATTCGTTTGTAAATTATTAGATTTGGTTTCAAAATCGTCGTGTAAAATTTAAAAAAGAAGGAACAATAACTACTTGTGATAAGAAAAATTCAGTGAAAGTATTACGAACATGTCATACAAATCAACATAAACGATCAAATGAACTTTGTAATGATAGTCAATAATAAACTAATATATATATATATA